AGGTAATCTTTTTATCCACTTCCTGCCTCAATTGCAGATCTACGTTTAGTGCCCTGGAAACAGTTGCAATGTTGATATAATGTGTAACTCAATGAAACAATTGAAAATATTGATGATAAACTGTTGTTTGAGTAGTAAGACAGTTAAAAAAATTTAATTTAAAGGATTACTCTGTAGAATTTTTTTTTAAACATTTAAGAGTGATACCCCACCCTAAGGAAGAACAAAAACTTGCATTTAATATATTTTGGACGTGGTAAGAAAAAGCTAGTTTACATTCACTGCAGAGCTAGTTTCTGCAGCTACTGTAAGTCCTCCTTTTTTTTCAGAACAGACTAAGTTGCAGACAGATCATGCATGCGCACAACTGGCCAATCACTCACTTCTCAATGTGGTGCATTACAGTTCGTTGAGAAGTATATGAATGGCAAGGGCCAAGATCGGCACTGTCCCTCACATTTGCTTCGAAATAGATTTCAGAGCAAGTAAGGCAGGAAACCCACCTGAATGTCTGACTGGCAGGTGGGAAGGTGTTCTTATAATGTTCCAATAAGAATCCTGTTTCTGACTTAAAAATAGCCTACAATATCCTGAAATATGCAAAAAGCACGTCCAATACAATATCTGTTAATCAGGATTCATTAGTGACAACATGGAGTTACATAGTTAAATAGCTGAAAAGAGACTTGTGTCCATCAAGTTCAGCCTTCCTCACATTTGTTTTTGCTGTTGATCCAAAAGAAGGCAAAAATCCCAGTTTGAAGCACTTCCAATTTTGCAACAATCTGGGAAAAAAAATCCTTCTTGACCCCAGAATGGCAGTCAGATTTACCCTTGGATCAAGCAGTTATTACCCTACATCCTTAAAGGAACACTACAGTCACCTAAATTACTTTAGCTAAATGAAGCAGTTTTAGTGTATAGATCATTCCTCTGTAATTTCACTGCTCAATTCACTGTCATTTAGGAGTTAAATCACTTTGTTTCTGTTTATGCAGCCCTAGCCACACCTCCCCTGGCTATGATTGACAGAGCCTGCATGAAAAAAAAACTGGTTTCACTTTCAACCAGATGTAATTTACCTTAAATAATTGTATCTCAATCTCTAAATTGAACTTTAATCACATACAGGAGGCTCTTGCAGGGTCTAGCAAGCTATTAACATAGCAGGAGATAAGAAAATCTTAATTAAACAGAACTTGCAATAAAGAAACAAATGCAAAAGAATAATAAGCGCTCTCTTCTCAGGGATGAGCTGCAGTTCACCAACAAGGTGTTCCTCTACCTTGTGATAAATGGACAGATAAAATAGAAAGGTGAACAGCGCTAAAAATCAGAAAATGTACATACGTTTTGTAGAAATACTGGCCAGCAGAGTAACTTAAAAAAAGAGAGAAACAAAAATACAAATAATGGTACAGTATGTATGAACGATATAATTCCACAAGAACAAAGGTGTTATATTCACACTCACAATTTGAGGAGCTATATCAGCTCGGTGTTAAGAGCCTGGACGGAATAATCCCCGTCTATGGATTTCTTGAGGTTCAAGACCGTTGGTGAATTTATAGGTGTAAATATTGGTTACATGAAAAACAAAAGTAAAATACACCACATGGTATAGTACGTAAATATAAAATATTGTGAAAAAAAAAGTGGATGATCCTACTTACATATACTAGAGCAACGACCTGCTCTAGTTTGGAGAATTTCAGGTGGAATAATCCCCACCTTGGGATATAGTGGACCCAGGTATAGTAGCAAAGCAGTATTGGATAGGAAGGAGGACAAAAGGAATGACTGGATAGTTTAAAAAAATATATATACTTTAATACAATAAGTGAAAAGTGAATAATAAACTATAAAACCAGTTCACTTTTGAGAAAGCTTCGGCGAAACGCGTCAAGTGAGGAAGAATTTTGGACTTTTATACAAGACTGGTTTTATAGTTTATTATTCACTTTTCACTTATTGTATTAAAGTATATATATATTTTTTAAACTATCCAGTCATTCCTTTTGTCCTCCTTCCTATCCAATACTGCTTTGCTGATATACCTGGGTCCACTATATCCCAAGGTGGGGATTATTCCACCTGAAATTCTCCAAACTAGAGCAGGTCGTTGCTCTAGTATATGTAAGTAGGATCATCCACTTTTTTTTTCACAATATTTTATATTTACGTACTATACCATGTGGTGTATTTTACTTTTGTTTTTCATGTAACTAATATTTACACCTATAAATTCACCAACGGTCTTGAACCTCAAGAAATCCATAGACGGGGATTATTCCGTCCAGGCTCTTAACACCGAGCTGATATAGCTCCTCAAAGTGTGAGTGTGAATATAACACCTTTGTTCTTGTGGAATTATATCGTTCATACATACTGTACCATTATTTGTATTTTTGTTTCTCTCTTTTTTTAAGTTACTCTGCTGGCCAGTATTTCTACAAAACGTATGTACATTTTCTGATTTTTAGCGCTGTTCACCTTTCTATTTTATCTTGCAATAAAGAAAGCCTAAATAGGGCTCTCTTTACAGGAAGTGTCTATGGAAGGCTGTGCAAGTCACATAGGGTTCATAAACAAAGGGATTTAACTCCTAAATGGCAGACGATTGAGCAGTGAGGCTGCAGGGGCATGTTCTATACACCAAAACTGCTTCATTAAGCTAAAGTTGTTCAGGTGACTATAGTGTCCCTTTAAATCTTGTAAATAGGGCACATTTTCTCTGAGTATGCAAAACTGCTTTTGATCACCAGAGTCTAGGTATCAAATGTTCCAAATATGGCAGGGCAATCATGATTTTGAGGCTCTGAACTACCGTCCTTGATTCATTCACTGGTGTTTTACTTTTGTGAAGACCAAAAAAATATTTACTGAGATATTACAGGACATATCTGGCCATATAATCATATTTCAGCAGTACTCTGCATATGGGCAGCAAAGAAGAGCCCACTGGCAGGGCTTCAAATTAGTCCAGCTTACCAGTGTGCTAGACTGACATGCCCCTCTATGAGGACTGCTCAGAATTAACACTCCTTCATTTATAACTTGGTTCCATCCCTTCCATACAATATACAGTTACTTCCAACCTTGAGAGGAAAGTTAAAGGCACTCTGTAAAAACAGAGACCTAATTTAATCTATAAATAATATCGGTGGCAATACTAATTTAGAGAGGGCCCTGGGGCAAGATTTTATTTTGGTGGGGTGATGGGGGGGTGACCCCCACTTGTGTTTTTGGTTTTTAGTTTTCTCTTGACATGTCCTTACTGTATGATGAGGGCTGCCACAGTATAGGCATAGGTTGGCCTTTCTCCTCCTTTGTAATTCAGTGGGTGGTAGTCGTCCCTGTACCAAGAAGACTTGCATGAGTTCTTTTACTTGCAAAGATCGAGAAACTGCCAAGAGGGGACCAGTAGTAGATGCATGTAGTTGAGGAGTTGAGGTGGCTCCTTTGTGACGTCTTTTCCCGTATACGTCTGTCCAATTGCATGGCCTGTTGCACAAAGGCCTCTAGAGAGTCAGGAACATCTAAATGATCAAAGTCATCTTTAAGGAATTCAGACAAACTTTATCAATCCTATTTCGTTCCAGTGGTTATCAGTAGCATACCACTTCAATTCAGTGATGCATTTTTCCACTGGTCTACGACCTTGACGTAGTGCTCTGATGGTTCTTTGAGCAATTTTCTTGGCTGCTGGTGTTGTCATGCATGGAAGACATAGTGGTTCTGAAAGCAAAGATAATTTGCCCATTTTTGAGGATATCCTCAAAGGAGCGAAATAACAGTATGCACTTTGATAGCATCATAATGGTGGATGGGAGTTTCAGGCCAGACCTCATTTCACAGGATTTAATAAAGGTTTGGTATTTAGACCTATCCCCTGTGAATCTTTCTAGTTATAGGACCTGAGGTGTAGTGGCTTTGGTGTGATCCTCAGGAACCAGGTGGACCACTACAGATGGTTGTGGTACTCCAGCTATAGGGGGCATCAGGCTTGTAATTGCATTAAGTGGGTCAAAATTCAGTAATGTCTTTTTCTTTCTCTCTCTTCTTTCTGAATTTATTGTGCAATTGTAAATAAAAATGGTGTAGAATTAAAATATCTCGGCTTTAGAAATGTATTGAAGATGAGAATGCACTCACAAAATGATTCTGTGTTTTGACAGTTCCGGTAGGGGAGGAGAGAGAACCTTATATATTTTTATTATTTTTTCCCTCTTTTTCTTTTCCTTTTTTTTTCCTCTTTCTATCCCCCTTATTTTCTTACCGATCCCCTTTCCCTCCCACTTTCTCACATTATGCTCATTACGAGGGATAGAATAGGATAGATTAGGGATAGAGTAGGGTTAGGGTAGGGGTATGCAGGGGTCAGAGTAGGGAGAGAGTGAGTGAGTTTTATTTTGAGTTAGTAGTAGGGAGAGGAGAGAGACAAGGTAGGGAGACTGTTAGGGATAGATAGATAATAAGGCTCTGTCCTCCTGTGTCCTACTCTCTCCTTTTTCCTCCCTCTTTTTCCTTTATTTATTTTTACTTTCCTCCCCTTTCTGACCCCTGATATAAAATGTTTTATCACCATTTTTTGTTCTCTATTCATTTATGTTAGAAATGCGATTGATGAGTTTAATTTAGTTCAATATGTTGATGTATATTTGATTTGATCTGTAAAGAATTACATTATCTGTATTTGAAGCTGCCAAGAGAAATAAAGATATTAAAATAAAAAAATTCAGTGGGGTTTGAGGAGTCAATAACTTTTTTATTAATGAACCACCTTCAATGATGTTACATACAATGAATGCTTAACATATGGACTACTATTTTTACTTGTTGTTCCTTTGTGAATTTACCCCTGATGAATTTCCCAAGACTCAGTTATAATATGTACCGACAACAATTTCTTAAAATACTAACAAATAAGTTATTTACCTGTAAAATCCTACTCTACTGACATTTGGTCCACCTTGTAGTTCTTGTATGGCTTGAATTGAGTGGACACCTGTCGTGTCAGTGCAGTAGGCATCTACAGTATTTCAGCGAGCTCCATATTTATATCATAAAAGTGGATGGAGTCCTGAATGCAGCAGGTAGCTGAAACGATACACCAAATGCAATACAAATAGGGAATGAGCAGAGACGTTGTCGAGTAGCCAAAAAATCATGTCGGGCAGCACAGGTTCATGAATGATAAGGACAAGCAGGGCTCTGATAATGAAAAGGTAGAGGTGAAGCTAAGGTCTGCTTCACTCCACAGTAGATGTAGTAGGCAGTGATGACCCAGTCCCTATTATGAGTTGGCATTTCAAAATGTGGATGCATAGCTCAGCTTCCACCATATCTATATTTTAATATCAAAATACAGTTAGAATAAAATTTCATATAGATATATAATTGTTTTAATTTTTATTATTTTAAAAAAAATTTAATTTAATTTACTTATTATTTGTATTTTATAATAATATAAAAGGACAAGGCTAAAGTGAAGTGGTTGTTCCACTAAAGATGGAAAAGTTTGGACATCCACTTCACCAAATGATATCTCTAAATTATTACAATAATTATTAGGTATAACCTTTATTGAGCCGTCTTGAGGCAAAACAAAAAATAATAAAGTGTAATAATAGTGAAACACTCGTGAAACAACACGTGAAGTAAAAACTGGGTAGATGCAATGTGGATATCCTCAAAACATAGTGGAGTGATTAAGATATCTTCACTGAAAACTATAGTGACAAGTACAATATAGTACAATGTATATTCAGTCAAATACCATATGATCACTCCTCAGAAGAGATAATCCCCACAGTCTGCAGGGATCTAAAAGTATCCCAGCTATATAGAGGTAAATCCACAAGAATTCCCATAAGCTCTAGTATATTTTCAGAGCATACACTTTAGGTTTAAGTAGATAGTGTCCATATATAATCAATCTATCATAAAGTTTGTCTAAAATGTTGCAAATGGAAAAGGAGTCTAGGGAAAAGCTGAGAGACACTATATGTATATTGTGCTACTTAGTATTTAATACTTAAATAGAGTAGTATAGATAATTATTGCTTAGTAAAAGGAGTATCTCAGTAGACAAATGAGAGCTTAGATAGATCTAAAGAGATGGTTAAGCAAAGTAGTCCTGGGGGTTAATATGCAGGTGTCTCGTAGTAATAGTAAGATGGATTAAAAATTCAATCCCTATATAAATAGAGGCACCCACCCAGCAAAAAAGTCCCTCCCAGGAACAAAAAAACACTTAAATAAATAGAAAATCTATATCTGCACTCACTAAATCTAGCTCCTATAGATACTGAACACTGCTGCTTCAAGGCAGCCTAACGCTATATGTCGCTAGCTAGACGGTCTAAATAAATATATTAATAGATCTCCTACTAGTACCACTCGTTGTTGCTACGAAGATAATTCCAACTAGATAGTCTAAGTGAATACTCCAAGTGTGTCCCCCAGCATAAGTGACTAAATCACTCCTTGCATCCCCCAGTAATAAAAACAAAAAAACGGCAAACGCTCGACGCGCGTTTCGGCGTGGTCACACGCCTTTATCAAGAGCTCCTGGCACGGCTGAAGGAGGAAGGGTAAATTTATACCGGGAGAAGTGCCGCCCATATAGTTGCTTGTTCCAATCTGCTTAGCTGGGGGCGTAGCTATAACCCGATCACACCCTCCTCCTTCTAAAGGCTTGTCTAGCTAGAGACCACGTGTACACATACAGCGTTGGCTGTTACTGTGGTAACGCGGCCGGCCTGACTGCATATAAATGCAGTACAGGTTATCTGTCAGCTCAAAAACGCCACTTAAGGATCCATTGCCTACATTGAACGAATATTTCTTAACCATGTATTAGGAGTAAAGTCAACTTTATAGTTTTCTGATAGAGGGAATTAGCCTTAATTCAACAAGGCATCTACATTATAAAAAACAAAATATATATCGCAGAGTCATTATGACTCAAGATACAATTGTAACTCATTTCTCGTTTCAATCTATCAGTCACTATTATAGTAGTAGTCACTAATGTATCATATCAGGGTGTTAACAACATTAATTAAACCTAAGACCCAATTAGATGAGGATCAACTGTATGTATTTATTAAACAATGTTCCACCATAAATATGAATTAGATATTTATTAGATATTACTCCCACAGTGGTAAGATAGTGACAGATTACAGAATGTATCCTTAGATAGACAAAAATATATATATCTGATGATCATAGTCCCAATGGACTAAATAGGTGCCAGGTGTAAGGTATATATAAATGTTTTGTTATTGACATTTTTCACTTTATAGATACAATATCCTTTCTTTTGCTGCTGAGGAATAAAGAAAGAGATAAGCATAATACTCGCCTACGTGTCCTTTATAAAATCACGACTTTACGTCATGAGATTAGTAAAATCTGGTAATTTGTGTCTATTTTCTTCCTGCTTGGTTTAGCTTGGCATAGTGGTCTGCTAATACACGCCAATCGTATATGTCTCTTACAATCATTTGTAGGCAAGTTAAACCCAAAGTTTGGGTGTTAGGGGTGATCCATAATCATGACAACAGATTCTATAACAACTACATACATAATACATTGTACAAAAATGCTGTTACATATCCATGCAACAAAAATTAATAAATTGCAGTACTAAATTTGCCTCCACTTGTGTCATTTATATCCCAGTTATTTACTTCTTTGAGTTCACCTGTGTAGGTCATTGGCGGTGCCTGATGCATTCCAGGAATGAGAAAGGCAAGAAAAATTCTGTAGTGGATGTAACTGTTTGGAATAACAGCTTGCTTGACTGAAATCAAGTAGCAGTCTTCTTTAAAGATCCTCCCATGCCACATCTGTTATCAGACATTGGAAAAAAAAAAAGTAGTTTGTTTTACCTGGGTCTATTTTGGAGGCTATACTTAATTGTACTGATACTACTTTGGTGGCAATATCCAAAGCACATGCATACGTCATGCAGTCATTGATTTGGCGGGACATCACAAATCCAGGTTTTTGCCCCAAGTTTGCTCTTGCTTAGCACAAATAGTAGTTGCTTGGTCTGTGCAAACTGCACGAAGAGCACTCAAGCCTAGACACAGAGCGCTTTAATAGCATTATTTGCATATGCTGCCATGAGTGCTCTTGGATAGCATAGTGGCTAGTCAGCTTGGTGTACATTCACATGCATCAGGTTAAAACATTTTTGGGCAGTTTTTCTCCTTTTTGGAACGTAATGGCACACCTCTGTAGGATTGCCCATGTGTCCATAACCATATATCCTACTAAGTTTGTCTGATATAATAGCAGGACATCGGGTGGAAAGACTTGACAGGACAAGCCCATGACACAATTTGTTTTACTGGTAACATCCAGAATGGGCGCTCCCACCCAAAAGAGGGCAGGGATAACCAGGGACGTGGTGCGTAGGCCTGGCTGGTGACGGAGATCCTCCTGGCCGGCCCCACTGACGGCTGACCACTACAGATGCGCTGTTGGTATGGTCCTAGAGCCATCAGCAAAGAGTAAGGATATCCAATAATGGACTCACACTGTGCTGCCTGGTAACAATGTCAGGATGGCAGAGCCTGACACTGGACAGGGCCTACCGAAATTGGGACAGTTTGGAGATTTGCCCAATTCCTAATGCTGAGCAGGATAAAGCCGGTAAGGAAAGCTATTCTGAATATCAGCCTTCCGTCCAGTTTGGGATCATCAATCGCAGTGCGGGGTAAAGTTCATAATTACCCATTTCCACCTGCACAAAAAGTCACAACTGTGAGATTACAGTGACAAAACATCATTACACTTTTCCAGTTTTAATTCACCACATTTTGGTTTTTTTAATGGAAAAAAAAAAAACCTTTACTGCAACCACTCCTTCCCCAAAGAGCTACAGAATATGTGAGTCCTAAATCTAAGCAGAAACAAGCTGCTTGAGGGCATTTGCATATTTCGCTCAGCATTCTGGGAGTGACGTGAACTCCATTACAGCCGCTGTCCAATGCACCTTGCAGTTATCTCATCCGATCAGCCTGTCATACCGCTGGGCTCCATCTTGCAGTAACAGCCAATGAGCGCCATGCGCACGCAACCTCACGCCAAAGTGCGGGCATGAAGCGTTTGTAGCGGCCGCCATCTTACTATTGCCAGCATAGCTTCGCTCTCACTGCATCTTGTCTGCCGAAAACCGAAGACGAGCGTTTCAGTACGCCCCCTCACACTAAGTTTCATCCCACGCGTAGGAGGAGCAAACAGCGCCAGCTTGTCGACGCGTGACGTCACTCTTCGGGCAGACCCCTCGGCTTCCTTGCCCATTGCTGACGTAGCGCGCACGGCAGCGTCCCGGGGCTGTGTCAGTTAGACAGAGAGCCGAGAGACGCGCACAAGGCGAGGCAGCGACTGTACACCACCGGAGGCAACATGGGTGAGTGTCCCACCCTGCTCGGACCCACGCTCACTCTATCACCACCCAGCGGGCTGTGCTGGGCCCTAGCTCGGGTTACCGGAGCTGGCTCGCTGGGGCACAGTGTGGAGAGTGAGGACCTGCTGTGTGCTAGGGAAGGGGGAGGAATGATGGAGAGCAGGGGAGGCCCCGCCGAAAGCAGAGAGGGGGGCCTGGGGAGGAGAGGGGCAGAGGGTAGGGAACACGGCTTAGCAAGTACTGGGGGGAATCCCCTCTAAGAGGCTCCATGTGGGGGTTATGGGAGCCCTGCCACAGCTACTGGTGGCATTGGGGCTGCAGGAGCCTTGCTCTATCCGGGAGCCCCTCGTTCAGGGTCTGGAGCTCTATGCGGGAGCCCCTCGTTCAGGGTCTGGAGCTCTATGCGGGAGCCCCTCGTTCAGGGTCTGGAGCTCTATGCGGGAGCCCCTCGTTCAGGGTCTGGAGCTCTATGCGGGAGCCCCTCGTTCAGGGTCTGGAGCTCTATCCGGGAGCCCCTCGTTCAGGGTCTGGAGCTCTATGCGGGAGCCCCTCGTTCAGGGTCTGGAGCTCTATCCGGGAGCCCCTCGTTCAGGGTCTGGAGCTCTATGCGGGAGCCCCTCGTTCAGGGTCTGGAGCTCTATGCGGGAGCCCCTCGTTCAGGGTCTGGAGCTCTATGCGGGAGCCCCTCGTTCAGGGTCTGGAGCTCTATGCGGGAGCCCCTCGTTCAGGGTCTGGGGAGGCTCTATCAGGGGCCCTGGATTTCGGTCTGGGCTCTATCGGGGCTTTCGTTCAGGGGGTCTGGGCTCTATCCGGGGAGCCCTGGATTCAGGGGTCTGGAGCTCTATCCGGGGAGCCCCTGGATTCGGGGTCTGGGCTCTGTCGCGGGGGCCCCTGGATTTCAGTGCGGAGCTCTATGTCAGGGCCCTCTCGTTCCGGGGTCTGGAGCTCTATCACGGGCCCTGGATTCAGGGTCACCGGGCTCTATCCGGGGGCCCTCGTTCAGGGTCTGGAGCTCTATCCGGGAGCCCCTCGTTCAGGGTCTGGAGCTCTATCCGGGAGCCCCTCGTTCAGGGTCTGGAGCTCTATCCGGGAGCCCCTCGTTCAGGGTCTGGAGCTCTATGCGGGAGCCCCTCGTTCAGGGTCTGGAGCTCTATGCGGGAGCCCCTCGTTCAGGGTCTGGAGCTCTATGCGGGAGCCCCTCGTTCAGGGTCTGGAGCTCTATGCGGGAGCCCCTCGTTCAGGGTCTGGAGCTCTATGCGGGAGCCCCTCGTTCAGGGTCTGGAGCTCTATGCGGGAGCCCCTCGTTCAGGGTCTGGAGCTCTATGCGGGAGCCCCTCGTTCAGGGTCTGGAGCTCTATGCGGGAGCCCCTCGTTCAGGGTCTGGAGCTCTATGCGGGAGCCCCTCGTTCAGGGTCTGGAGCTCTATGCGGGAGCCCCTCGTTCAGGGTCTGGAGCTCTATGCGGGAGCCCCTCGTTCAGGGTCTGGAGCTCTATGCGGGAGCCCCTCGTTCAGGGTCTGGAGCTCTATCCGGGAGCCCCTCGTTCAGGGTCTGGAGCTCTATCCGGGAGCCCCTCGTTCAGGGTCTGGAGCTCTATCCGGGAGCCCCTCGTTCAGGGTCTGGAGCTCTATCCGGGAGCCCCTCGTTCAGGGTCTGGGCTCTATGGGGAGCCCTGGATTCAGGGGGTCTGGGCTCTATGCGGGAGCCCTCGTTCAGGGGTCTGGAGCTCTATCGCGGGGCCCTGGATTTCAGGGTCTGGGCTCTGTCACGGGGCCCTCGTTCCGGGGTCTGGGCTCTGTCGCGGGGAGCCCCTCTCGTTCGGGGTCTGGGCTCTATGCGGGGCCTCGTTCAGGGGTCTGGGCTCTATCCGGGGGCCTAGTTCAGGGGTCCTGGGCTCTATCTCGGGGGCCCTAGTTCAGGGGGTCTGGAGCTCTATCCGGGGCCGTTCAGGGTCTGGCTCTATGCGGGGCCCTCGTTCAGGGTCTGGGCTCTATCCGAGGGGCCCTGGATTCAGGTCTGGCTCTATCCGGGGGAGCCTCGTTCCAGGTCTGGCTCTATCCGGGAGCCTCGTTCAGGGTCTGGCTCTCTATCAAGAGACCCCCCTCGTTCAGGGTCTGGAGCTCTATACGGGAGCCCCTCGTTCAGGGTCTGGAGCTCTATGCGGGAGCCCCTCGTTCAGGGTCTGGAGCTCTATACGGGAGCCCCTCGTTCAGGGTCTGGAGCTCTATCCGGGAGCCCCTCGTTCAGGGTCTGGAGCTCTATGCGGGAGCCCCTCGTTCAGGGTCTGGAGCTCTATGCGGGAGCCCCTCGTTCAGGGTCTGGAGCTCTATGCGGGAGCCCCTCGTTCAGGGTCTGGAGCTCTATGCGGGAGCCCCTCGTTCAGGGTCTGGAGCTCTATGCGGGAGCCCCTCGTTCAGGGTCTGGCGCTCTATGCGGGAGCCCCTCGTTCAGGGTCTGGCGCTCTATGCGGGAGCCCCTCGTTCAGGGTCTGGCGCTCTATGCGGGAGCCCCTCGTTCAGGGTCTGGCGCTCTATGCGGGAGCCCCTCGTTCAGGGTCTGGCGCTCCACATTAGCATATGATGGGCTGAAACTGTCTAAAGCTGTTGGTTCCCTGTCACTAAGTGGGTGCTTGTAGTAGTTTCGTTGTAGAGGGAGCTCTCCTGGAAGATGTTTTCCAGATTGCAGTAGGTAGTCTGCCATCTGGGTGTGGGAGATGTTTGTTTAGAGAAACAAAAAGCTAATTAATAACATGCTTTGAATGGAGGGGTGTGACCTATTTATCTGATTCCAGGATTTCCTTTTTTAAATCTGATCTGTTATTGTGTGTTGCTTTTATGTTACTGCAACTGAAAAAAAATTTTTTTAACTGTCTTGTAAATAATATCATAGAGTTAAATTTGGTACTTTCATACGCCTTATGTTTGAGACTTATTTTTTTTATTTTCTGTAGCATGCAGTTGTGAAGTGAGCAAAATTTGGGAAATAGTCAGATGATTTCTAGGTAGATGTTTATTGCCTACGTATCAGTTACACATGACTTGTCATCTCAAGACCAGACTTTTAAAAATACTTTTGTCTTTGTATAGTTGCATGCATATTGTGATTTTGGGTCAGTTGTCTATTTTATAGATGGACAGGAATGATTTTTTGTTATTTTTGTTACATGATATCAGGCTATTGAATAATCTGTGAACATGTCATGCTTAAATTGCATCAATCACTTATATCCATGTATGAAAATCCATGGCAACGTTTGGCTTCTGTGTTTTTTTTCTTTTTTTTTTCTCAGTGCTTCCATTTTTTGTTGGGAACTACAAGAATTTAAAAAAAATAAAAAAAATTCTAAAGGGGTGGCATGTCTTTATAATGGGAGGAGATTAATAGAAAAAGTCCTTTGATTTTCTTTTCATCGGGCTGGGCTTCAGGAAGATTCTCCTCCCTTAATAGTTTGGGAGATGTCTGAATATGTGGTAGGTTCTTGTCAAGCAGAGACCAGCAGCTACTTTATTTATGTTCGGAGGGCCTGATAGTTTTGTCTCTGCCGTAAAGAGATGGAGGAACTGGGTTTGGAAGGTGAATTTATTTATTTTTCTCTGTGGCACGCAAATCTAAATTTTTATAAAGTTGAATGAATGTATTACGCTGTTGCTGTAGTGGCGATATCCTTTCTGCTACAACGAGGAATTTTATATCGAGGAGGTAGGTTTAGCGTTGTTGATATTGTAAGGTTTGTATTTCAGTGTGACACCAAAACATGGTTTGCACATCAATGAAAGATCGAAGGGAAGAAATAACAGTCCTTGGGTAAAAACAAGAAATTATAGTTTATTGGAAGAGGTCTTTATCTGGTGTGTCGTGAATCTTTCGGACATGAATTTAAGAGTCCATTAAAATCATCAACAGATGGTGCTTCCTGGTTCAGATCCAGACATGGTGGTTTAAGGGCTATTTAAAATTGATTTATTTTTTTAAACTTTTTGTTGCATTTGCTTTAATTTTGTATTTTTTCCCACTGAAATGCATTATTGGGTTAAGCTAGTGAAATGCTGAATCCTCTTTGTTTACTAAATGTTAATGTTTCAAAGTCTTTAAGTACATTACCAAAGCTATAATACACGTAAAGCTATTTAGTGTTAAAAATCAGTTGTTCAATATAATCCACAATGTAAGATACTGGCTTGAATTCTATTTTGATATGAATTTGTTATTGACATCACTTTTTTTTTATTTGATATTAACCATCATTAGGGATGTGGTGTCAGGAAATTTCATATGGATAGGAGAAGTCAAGTAACATGGAATTGTTTTTATTTCCATATCCTCATATGTAGTGCAAATCTTGGGGAGACTAGTTGCAGTGGCCTGTGACTCCATGCATTTTCCTAAATTCATTTCTTTATTATAACAATGTTTCATAAAATGTAAGTAGTTTGTCCATTCCCAATACTTAGGTACACACAACCACTCCCCTCTTTTCCAGTAAAAATAACCATACATTGTATGACACTTGCATACTTAATGTTTTGTGATTTGTTGGCTCACAAATAGGTCTTTACACTTCCTTATAAACATTAAATATATATGGAAACAAATAGTCATATTCAGGGCAGCTACATTCCTTGAAGTTGTCAGATTTACCTGAAGTGCTACTGGATTTGGTTTGAACACAAAATGTATAGTTGTTTTTCTATACATATATCCTGTTGTTGTTCTTAAGTGTTCATTCATTTTCCATTTAGAATACCATACCTGTATTCGAAGACCTTGGTTACTAAATTGAAGAATCATAATGAGCACAGTGGTGTTATAAAAATATTTGTATTCTACATGGTTTTAAGACTGAGAAATCCTTGATTAAGAAGACCTAGTTTATCTGTTGAAGCATGTCTCCGATTGCTGTTACAAATTATCCTTCCCCATTCCTTGTTTGGGTAGACTTGGGTCAATGTACATTCCTGTGGGAAAGTACTCTTGATACATTTTGGTGGTGTTTAAATCCTGCAGAGAATGTTGCGCCCTTCTGTGTGGCTCTCCTCTGTCACTGCCTCAGTTAGCGAAGCAAACACATGTTCAAATAGACAGTCCTTGTTTTGCAGGAGGTAGCAGAGCCTGCTTTTCCTCATGACTGAACCCTGCCCTGAAACTTGAGTTGAGGCTGATGTACAAGTTCCTATCATTCTCAGCAGTACCTCAGTTTGCCTTCTCATAACTGAGAGGAAGCTGTGGGAAAATATGTCCCCTCCCTCTTGCATAGTTTTGAATCCATGCACATCTGGATGAAGAGAGCTGTGATATTGGGAGTTGACCACGTCATGCACTTTTGTGGTGTTTTTAGTTCACCTGGAAAATGTCTCTTTAGTGGTTGTTCAAATAACTCCATATTTGGTTTCTTCTTACACAGGAAGCCTGTACTTTGCAGTGTCTTTATTTTTGTTTTGATGTTACTGTATTTAGACATCAGATTCTCTGATCCAGTCAATCCTTTTACAGAATTGTTTAATTTCCTTCAGTTGGGCATGCATGGTCTAATATATGTATATTGTGTTAATGGTTAGATAAACGGGCATTACGTCAAAATATAGCTGGCTTTTCATTTGACCCAGTAAATATATTGTCATAGAGCCCTTCAACATAGAGTGAAAGTTTATACACTATGCTGCTATTTTTCTGATTAAGTCTACCTTCCCCCATATCCTATTTTGCATCCTTGTTTGCTGGGAGAGAGCCTAGTCATGCATCTGGCATTTCCTCTTCCGATTGGTTATTTTTTTTTTTTTGTCTGCGCAGTGCATCGTATGTGTATCGTAGTGTCAATTTAAATATTTCACTACTTCTGTGCGGTCTTACTGCAGAACCCAAAAGAAGAAAAAAAGCGCTGCTTCTCTCCCTCCCCCACATTAGCATGTGACCAGAAACAGCCTTCAGCAAACGTGGTCTTACAGCCCACAGTCATGCTACATTAACATTTCCCCTGCCAGACTATCCTTCGTAATGCTTTCTGACTGGTCTTGTAAATGTAGTGTGTGAGGCACATGGATTGAAATACAGCCTGTAAGAAATTACAGGTGACTTTTTTTTTTTTTAAATATATCTCTGGTACTGATTTGAATTGGAGTATTGGGTATTTTATGTATTTTTTTTTTTTCTCTCTACTGTTGAGGAATTCAGAATTAATGGAATTTCAACTTTTCTGAATTCTCTTGGTGCTAGCGAAACAATCAAAGCTTGGTTTTCCATATATCCACATGTAAGAGTAACCATCGCTGAACTTCCTAGAGCATGAGGCATGCTAATTATTGGGATCTCAAATTTCTTAGGTTTTATGACCTGTTGACTGTTTAAAAGAATTTGTGTCCTATGACATGGCTCTGAATTTTTAACTGTTATGCTGCATTTTGTTTTTTTGAAATTCCTATATTAATGTCTGATTCTGAAAAGTGTTGAATGGCTGTCATGTGCTAATGAATGTTTTCTTAGTATAGATGTATACTTTTAACATCTAGAAATAGCAGTCTGGCCTGCCTCATAATGTTTTGTCTCTGAATTGTGGGAGTTGGTAATTTCTGACCTTGGGACGCCAGAATGTCTGTACTCGTAGTATGGTCATTTGTGTGAGAACACATTAACTTTAGATATAATTCTTTCAACTGTGTATTCTCTATCTTCATAATACTTTGATATCTCACAGTGTACTGGATATTTTGCAAACCAATCCTAAATATGTGGTCGGATGATTGGTGGTGTGTGATTTACAGCTCGAACACATGTTTACATGGATTCTGGGTAGACCACTTATTACAAATGTTGACCATTGATTTGAGCGATTGTTCAGCCATTGAAATGCCTTTTCATGAAGGGCTCTATAAACACTTTTGTTAACTTTGCTTCCACTAACCGTTTGGAATTTACTGGTGAATCTTTTACCCGCTCACCAGTTTATTTTTATGTGCAATGCATATCTATCGCAGTGGTTCTGTTCTGTAGTATACCAGTTTGATTAGTGGAATTGCCTAGAACTATTCTCAAACAAAGCAATCTGGACCCAAGCAGATTATGGTTTAAAAAAAAAAAAAAAAATTCAGTTTAGTGGCTATACTGCTAAAAATGCATTTAATATTTTTGGAAGTGTGTGAAGCATTTTTATTCCATGTTTGATAAGCCACAAGATTGACACAGCCCCTCACCCGAACTATACTTAAAAGGGAGTGTGTCTGGCCAACTGTGACATTGTCACGACTGCTAGTGTGGTCCAACACGCAGAAACTATGTAAACATATACATACAAAAGAAAAGGAAAAATAAAAGGTCAGAGCGTAAACTGGACCTTAGAATGGCCGGACTAATACTCTAGAGATAGAGAATGGTCAAAGGGAAAGCCGAGGTCAAGGAAGCCAGAAATACTCAAATACCGTTTAAACAAGCCAAGTCAGGGAAACCAGAATTCGGAATAACCAGGGAAAAGCCAAGATCAGGATACCAGGAAGTCAGATACACAAAGATAAACGCACTCTCGGGAACCAGGAACAGGAAACCACGACAGGGCAAGTAACTGGAGTGAATTAGGGATTTAAATATCCCTCTCTGGGTTCTGATTGGTCAGAGGGTGACCTCTGACCCCAGAACGTGCGCGTGCGTTGATGTCGTGACGTCACGCACACATTTGTATTCATTTGAGGGGCGGAGCTTAAGATGGACGTGACCACGTGGTCCGCTAACTTTGATTTGGGCGCTACGCCCAGAGAAAGCAGAGGAGCGGCTCCTGGCTTGCCGACTAGCAGGTAAGCTTGTGGTGTCGGCGAGACCGTGCCGGTCGAGCACGGCTGCGGCATGCGGCGGGTTGGGAGCTGTAACAGACATCCATACGCTGTTATAGAAGTGCTGATTTCTCTTGAAATCAACACAATCTTGCAGCCACTGGTGATTTAATGTTCTATGCGCTTAGTGTTCCAAGTAAGTAGGTGTATTCCTAAACTATAGTGTCCCTCTGTCCCCTTTCCTCTCAGCCATGTAAGAGGTAAAAATAAATAAAAAAGCTTTAAACAAGTACCTGATTCCAGCTCCATGTTCCTGGGTACTGGGTCAAACTCCTCCAATCAGCTGATGGGGAACCAAATGCGCATGTGTGACTCTGTGCATATTAAGCCTTCCTATGTGTTTTAAACATGCTGGATAGGGATGCACCAAATTGAAAATTCTAGGCCGAAACCAAAAATTCAAGATGCCCTTGGCCAAAAACCGAAAATGACTCCCCTCCCTCCCCCTAATGATTAAGTTTTTTTTTTTCTATAATTGTATTAATATTAGACTTATTACACAGTGTGGGAGGTGGTGACAGTGTGACTGAGGGAGGGGGTGACTGCCGACAGAGTGAGGGTGTTAGAAATGCCATAGCTTCTATCTCCATTACTGACAATGAAGGAGGTGCTCAGTTCCAGAAAGTTGCTGTATACAACAATGTGGATTTTAACATTTCATTTTATTTTACATCCATTACAAACACATCTTTGTTAAACATTGGGGAACATTTTTAATCACATTTAAAAAAATAAATAATAATAATTATATTACAGGGCAGCACTTCTTCTGTGGGGCCCACCCTCTATGTAGAGGTGATATGTGTCCAAGAAAAATAGTGGATTTATAAATCCTAAAGCTAGCCCCTGCTTCCTCCCTCCTGGTCTAGAACGCCAGTTGAGGAAGTGTGGGCCTCTGCGAAACCCGGGATCTGTGTCATGGGTGCTGTCAGTGATGGCAGCGCCGGGTTGGGGGGCTGTCAGTGATGGCAGCGCCAGGTTGGGGGGCTGTCAGTGATGGCAGCGCGGGCTGGGGGGCTGTCAGTGCGGGCAGCGCCGGGTTGGGGGGATGTCGATAGGAATTGTGCATCCCTGATGTGATTGGACCGATTTTCGGCCGCAATGGGATAGGCCCATTTCGGCCGATATTTCGGTGCATCCCTAATACTGGAAATCCTCCTGCAAATCATGAGGATGTCCAGCACAGTCACTATAGGCAGCCTTAACACTGCAATGTAAATATTGCTGTTTCTCTAAAACTGCAATGTTTTACATTACAAGGTTAAGGGAAAAGGGACACTGGATCCAGACCACCCCAATGAGATGAAGTGGTCTTGGTGTCTATAGTGTCCCTCTAAGTTATCGTATTAGAATTTGTAAAACACCCAAGTGTACTAGAGTGGGAATAAAAAATGCAGTCTTGATAAGTGAACATGCTTACATCTTTTGTGTGTAAAAAAAAAAAAAAGTTCAGTGTAAACAGAGGTAACTTGCCAAATAAGTAAATGTACCTGATATTCTGGGAGTCACATTTTACAACAGAAATGTACATAGCAGAAAAGCTGTTTTCACTAATATTTCAACTGGTTTATTAGAGAATCTCAGAACAGTTAGGCTAGTTTGGAATATTTTATTACTCATGGTTGGTGCATATGTCAAATGTTTGCCATTGAAGCGTGAGTTTCTAATATTTTTGCAATGGAATGCCACTGTGGTCACCTGACACTCTCAACCAATAAAGAATGTCCAGATAAGGACAAAATTGATATTTCCAAAGTGGTAGACCTGCTTTAACATGAGTCCATGGGTACCAAGAGATCAGAGATAAGATTTCTCTAGTAATCCTGAAAATAAAGTATAAACGTATCTGGAATTCAGTGCCGGAGTAGCTCCCTGCGCTGGTTTCCAAGCCTCTGTCACTACATGTGCATGCTCTGAGCCAGGAAGGTTGGGGTGAACCAGGCAGGAAGGGAGGGGAAAAAAAAAATACCATCAATTTAAGGAGGTGCGGAGGGAGGTATGACGAAGGCTTACCCTTGCAGGCAGCACTGCAAGGTTGGGATTCATTGCATGTGTTGCCAGGTGTAATTTTTGCACCAATTCTGACAGGGCGGGCGTGTGTACCTGTGCTGGTTGCCACTTACATTGTAGAGGGGGCAGCTGGGGCCCAGCAAATCCGATCTTCTATTACCAGCAAGTGAGACAGGGGCAATTCCAACTCACCGTGCTTCACAAAAAGGCACATGAAGGCTCCTACCAATCAATGTTTGTACAGGCAAAGGAAGGAATAACAACTTCCTCTTTGTTTATTAGTGACTAAAAGGAAAGGCTTATAGCTGAAGATATGTTTGCAATTTGTTCCTTAAAAGCAGCTGTGTGCAAGGAAATGGAAACAAATCGGACATAACCTGTGCTTGGATCTACCTATGCATAAAATAAAACCGTTCCAATCTAGAGTAGCCCTTTACACACATCTGTCATAGTGCAAATGATTCCGTAAATTAAAAGAATAGAAAAAGTGTCTTTGGAATGCCAGCTGTTAAGGATAACGTAAAGTTTTTGTAATGGGTTATATTACTGGCCTCCCAAGTCCCCATAAGTTCTGAAGGCTACCAGATTGACAAATATCCTCAACCTTTTATCATGAGTATACAGATAACCTCACTGACTACGGATCTTGATTGGCCTTAAACAGTGTTTCATTGCACTCAACTATCCAGTGACATTACATGAATCCGCACCACAAAAAAATGCATTAAGACTCTTAAGTAATCTCATAGCCTGGCAGTGGGTTTATATAGATAAATATTGTCCATATTATAAACCTATGACACCAGTCGGTGCTTCTGAAACAAAAGTTGCTGACATTTATTTTAGTGGTGTGCTTTGAAACTGGTCAAGATTCTGTTACAGATAACTACATTTAATCTGTAAGGTGAGAGGCTCTCTTCACTCGAGACTGAATAAATTTGTATGGTAGCCATCCTTTTTGCCCTCTTTAGTATAGACCTTCTGCATTGTCTGTTTCCGCACACCACAACCGACTTGTGCTATTGACTGTTGTGTTACAACTATTCTTAACTTCATTAATTATGGCAATGTTGCCCTGAACACATACATACAATATACATATATTGCACAATTGAAGTTCTTTATTTAAAGTGCATTGGACATTGAAGAAATGCATCCCAACACAATTTATTTGGACTAATTATACATGTATTTTTTTTTTCTTTTATTCTTTATTTTTGACGT